CAGAAAACCTTTAGTCCAACACAGTTTATAAAAACACAACTAATTGTTTAGTACAACTCCCCCACTGACAGAATTGAAGAGTTACGAGAATACAAGCTTACAGCAATGGCAACTTTGCACGTGAAGTTGTTAAAATGGGATTGAACTTGCCAAGCTAAAGCCTTTCAGATTGTCTACTTAAGAGAGAGTGTACCAACATTTTTTGTTTAATAGTTCCAACCTGACATGGTTCATAGATCTTCCAAAATCATTCATTTAGGTCAGATTTTCAGGAACACAGGAAAATCACATGAAAATTTTGAACACTGTCCAAGAGAAACGTTCCTATTGGACTCCAATTCAAATCCAATTCTCAAGTCACGATGAATAGCACTCCTGAGCACACAATCATGTTGTCTTCCATAATTAGCATCTCAGCTCCTGAAAGTGATAATGCTAGCTTCCTAAAATATTCATTTTAAGAGACCAAAATCTGGTTTCCTTAAGGCTGCCTAATAGGTCCCCTCATAGAAGGACTGGACTTAGCAGTGGATCTTTTGGTTCTTCAAGCATGCACCACTGTTCATGGCTGATCTGACTGCAGTCTTAAATCTACTTTCCTGTCCTCCCTCATAATCCTGAACTCCTCTATCTATCAAAGGTATGTCTACATCAACCACAAATATTTTGAGCGATCCATCCTTTACTGATTGCTGTGTACGAAAATTCGAAACACACTCGATCATAATGAGACTTGAACTCATGTCTTCAGGCCTTAGACTGGGCCTCTAGACTACCACTGCCATAATATTACCACTGTGCCATTGTATCCTTTTGTAAGCTTACTTTTCTACCCATTAAGTCATCAGCAAACTTAGCTTTCATACATTTGGTCCCTTCATCCAAGTGACTGATATAGATTACAAATATTTAAGGACCCAGCATCGCGCAGTGTGCCGTTCTACTCGTTACAGCTTGCCAAAATGGCCATTTATCTACACTGTCTGCTTCCCATCAGATAACCAATCTTCCACCAATGCTGATATATTACCCTCTACACCACAAGTTCTTATTTTACACAGTAACCTCCGAGATGACACCATGCCAACTGGCATTTGGAAATCCAAATTCATCCAATCTATAGGTTCCTCCTTATCCTTTTTGTTTGTTACTTCCTCAAAAGAACTCGAATGAATGAATTTTGAAAACAATTTCCCTTTCTCAAAACCATGTTGACTCTGCCTGACTCCATAATGTTTTTCTTAAAAAGTACATATACTTTTCTAACCTTCATAATAATGGATTCTAGCAAATTCCTAACAACAATTGTAAGATAACAGGCCTATTAGTTTCCGGTTTCTGTCTCCCTCCTTCCTTGATTAAAGATTTTGTATCTGCTGTTTTCTAACCAAAATTCAGAGTCTATTCTAGAATCTAAGAAATATAATAAATGCCTCTCCTATCCCTGTAGCCACTGTTCTTTACATTTAAAAAAAAAAATCTCAGGATGCAAACAATCCGGTCCTTGAGACTTGTCAACCTTTAAATCTAATGATTTTCCCTGATAACTATTTAAAAGAGTTCTTTCCCTTTGGCCTCTTGATTTTAAGCATCACTGGACGTTTTCTACAGTGAAGAGAGACAAAACACCTATTCATCGCTTTCACCATTTCCTAGCTTTCCATTATTTAGGACAAACATTATTTAGTTACTTGGGCTTTTTAAAATACTTCAATTTAAAATCTTACTATGTTTTTAGATTTCTAGCTAGCTTTCCCCCATGGGAACATAGGAACACAGGAACAGGGATAGGCCATTCAGCACTTTGAGCCCTGCTCCACTATTCAATGAAATCATGGCTGATCTGTGGCCTAACTCCATATACCTGACTGACTCATAAACCTTTTCTGATGAAGGGTCTAGGCCCGAAACGTCAGCCTCTCTGCTCCTATGATGCTGCTTGGCCTGCTGTGTTCATCCAGCCCTGCACCTTGTTGTCTCGGATTCTCCAGCATCTGCAGTTCCTACTATCTCTGACTCATAAACCTTAATACCTTTAGCTAATAAAAGTTTATCTCAGGTCTAAAACTAATACCATTTTCATTAACCATAAGATACAGGAGCAAGAAGCCATTCAGCCCACAGAGTCTACTGTCATTCTATAAGATTATGATTGATCTGATAACCCTCAATTCCCTTTGCCTGCCATTTCCCTTCAATTCTTAATTCTGTTACGGATTAAAAACGTGTCTATCTCAGCCTTGAATACGCTTGATGACCCAGCCTCAAAAGCCCTCTTCAGTAAACAATTTCATAGATTCTCTACACACAGAAGAGATTCCTCCTCATACAATCCCTTATTCTAAGATTAGGCCCTCTGGTCTGGACTCTCTCACAAGGGGAAACAATTTCTCCACATCTACCCTGTCAGATCCCCTAAGAATCATGTATGTTTCAATAAGATTGCCTCTCAATATTCTGAATTCCATGAGTAAAGGCTCAACCTACCCTCGTAAGATCGTTGTTCCATACGCAATATCAACTTTGTCAATCTTCTCTGGACTGCTTTATTTGCCAGTACATTTTTCCTTAGATATGGGGAGCAAAACTGCTCACAGTATTCCAGCTGGTTTGATGAGTGTCTTTTATAGTTTTAGAAAAACATCAATTCTTTTATCCACTCCCTTTGAAATAAACAAAACATTCCATTCGCCTTCCCTATTGCCTGCTGAACATGGCTGCTAGCATTGTGTGATCCATGCATGAAGACTCCTAAATCCCTGTCTGTAGCTTTATGTAGTCTTTCTCCATTGAAATAATACCCAGCTTCACTATTTTTCCTTCCGAAGTGTATAAGCTCCCGTTTCCCACAGTATATTCCATCTACCAAATTTGTGCTCAATCACCAACCTGTTCACAACCCTCTCTGTCATCCTCACCATTCACTTTCCCACCTATTTCTGAATCACGCGCATGTGCCTACAGTACATTCACTCACCTCATTCAAGTCATAATACATATAAATAATTGCGGCCCTGATCCCTGCAGCACTCCACTAGTCAAAGGCTGCTATTCACAAAATGTCCCCCTTCACCCAACTCTGTCTATTAGGTGGCCATGTTAATATACTACACCCAGCACCATGGGCTCTTATTTTAAGAGGCCCAATGTGTAATGTTCTGAACATCTAAATACATTACATCTACTCATACATTATTGTATTTTTTAATAAGATTCTTTGCAGGTTCCCAGATCTTCCGACCCACCAGTAATCTTCAGAAACTTGTACTGTTCCATTAAATTTAATACTAGGCAGAACTTCACTATTTAGCCAGATGATATATCTTTCTTCAGGAGTCTTCCTTTAGTCACTAGGATAAATCTTTGTGAATTATGAAATATCTCCTTAAAATCATCCACTACACTTTTACAGCTCCAACTTTTAACCAAGTTTCCTAGTACACATTAACCATCTCTGGTTTCATACCCTCATTTAGATTTAAAGACGTCTTAGTTCCATACTTCTCATTTTCAAACTGAGCACAAAATTCGATCATGCAATGGTCACTGATAACCAAAGGCTCCTTTATGACACAGTTATTGATTAATCCTGTTCCACTGCACATTAAATGGTTATTCTAGTTTGAAACAAAGCTACTTTTAAAACAAAATTGCCCATAATACATAAAGCTCATGTGCATCTCCAATAAAAAATGGGACATCTTTCAAGTATTGGCAGTAACACTGAATAAACATCAATGCTATTTGCATAAGATCAGCAGATAGTTAGCATATTAGATTTTCGAAAGCAAGTCAGAATTTTCTTTTTATTATTCATTCACAGGATGTTGAGGTCACAAGAGAAGACAAGATTTATTGTTCTTCCAAAAGGTATTGCTAAGATGTTTCAGTCCCAATGCTGAAGATGAAACATTCTCAGTGTTTGGGAGGGGTTCAATGATTTGACCCAGTGGCAACAAACAAGATTGACTACTGCAGACTTGGAATGCAACTTGGAAGTACTTGCGTTCCCTTGGTCTTTCTAAGAAATTACAGGTTTGGGAGGTGAAAAAGGAAGCCAAAGAACAGTTTGTTTCGGCAAAGTAATTGAAGACTTGAGAAAGAGTCATTTGACTCTAATGGTCTTTTGGAGCCTTGTGCACTTTTATTTCAAAATCTTTTCATTGTAAAAGTATCCAGTAGCTATATTACCAGTGTTTGTGCTAAATTTCTTTAACACTAATAGCAACATGTTATCAGACTAGCTGCAGAAAGAAATTCATAAAGACTATCTAGAAATGTGACAAAGTCATGAATGTCATTTAACGTTCCTCAACCAAGGTAGGCAAATTATCAGATCCCAAGCCTCTCCTCGTAACTGAATGCTCTGCAACAGCGGTCTTGGTTCACTTGCTTCAAATGACCCTTTCCAATTATCCTGGAGAAGGCGCTGCAAGTTGTTTTCCATTTACAATGTCCTCCTCACTGTCAGATTTAGTCAATGATGCAATGACAGGAAATCTCAAATTTATGGCTGCCTTGTCAATTTTAAAAGAAATTTCAAGAACATTAGGCAAATATTGCATTTTCACCCTTCTTATTGATACATACCATATTTATTCAGGTTTCTGTTTTTATGAGAATTCTTGCACTCTAAGTGAAATGCTTATGAAACAAATTCCACTCTTTGCACCAATCACCATCAAGTGTTGCCAAATGCAGTACAACATGAGCTATTCAGGGACAGTATTATTTTTTAACCAGTCTCAGGTAATTAATGCCTGCTCTTAAAATGGGTTATAATCATTTTGCATATCAGCTGTACAGTCTCAAAGATAGCTAACTTTTACTGTACTGTTGACAGTTTTCTGTCGCAATCTTTATCTACTAGGAAAATCAGCCAAATTCATTGGGCATTAAAATCAGATTATAACTAGGCCTTGTACACTATCTAGGGGTAAACTACTTATTCATAGCATTACAGGATCCAAAGTCAAAAGTAACTGCAATTGTCTCCTTACCACAGATCTTTAATGGTGCCTCCAATTCCAAAAGGATAGGTTGGCTGAGAAAGATCTCTCTTGATTTTATACATAGACCTCGAACTTCAGCCTCAGTCATCTGTACAATTTTTCCAGGGCGGCATCCTCGTACTGAAAAAGATTAAGAAATAAAGTATATCATTAGAACTTCACAGCTTAGAACAGATTATTCAGTCTGACGGGTCACTGAACTCAAAACATCAGCTCTGCTTTCTTTTTACAGATGCTTCCCCGTTTCTCCAGTAATTTTGTTTGTTTCAGATATTCAGCATCTGCAGTTCTTTGTTTTATTATAGACTATTCAGTTGATTATCAACAGTCTTAATCCTCTATTTTTCCATTATTTGTCAACGTTTTCATTTTTAAATGTTTGGGTGTACATCACAATACTATGAGTTCTGCATCCACTAATGTTTCTGATACACAGAACTGTTAGGACAGGAATTGTGTGGAAAAATAGTTCACCATTTTGTTCCTTTCCTGATATTCAATTTATGCCCTCTGGTTTCTGATTCACTGACCGAAAGAAATAGTTCTTTGCTATATTTCACTATTTACTCAATTGGAAGCCTTCAAATTTGAACAGCATTGCTAATCTTCCCTGTTGTATAGAAGGCAGCCCCTGTTTCCATAATCCTCCATGAAAAAATCCTTCTACCTTTTCAATAATTTTGGCAATTTCTTCACACTGTATGCAGTCAGAAATTAAGGAGTGTGCTCAAAATTAGACGTAACATTCTAATTGCAGCCTAACAAGAGATATGTTCAACATCATCTTTGCTTTCCTTCTCATTCCCTTCTAAATCGGATCCCGTTTCTTCCCCTAGGACAGCTTAATTCTATACTGATCTTACCATGATGTAAAATTTAAAGTCAGTAAGATACTAAGATCTAACTTTCCATTTGGAACTTTTGAAGACATACAATTGTATCCACTTTCCCTACTCTCTTCAATTACATGGTCATCAGTTTGGTCAATGTCAGTTCAAAACAACAATCTCAACTCCATGATTTACAACAGGGACAGCCATATGCAACCGCTCAAAATTCATTGAGGTACTTATACACATGCTATATAATTATTTGAATCTCACATACGGCAATACATCACTGATACATTATACAGGAACATAATTAACTGCATTTAACATACATTCCAGAATCTCTTTCTAGGTAGCCAGTGAACTTACTTTAGCCTACTTCAGCCTCCATGTTCATTTTCAAAAAAAAGTTGTAATTAAAAATTCTGTATCTCCATAGATGAGCTGGGTTATGATCCATGGTCCTAACAGAACCC